GCTCCTCTCTCTTTATATCCCTCATGTTTGTCTCTTTTTTTTTAGGTTTCAATTGGGTTGGGTTGAGATGGAATTTGTATAGCAATTGGATAAAAACTTTCACATCGACTTTAAATCTTCAATTCCATTAAAGCTCGGCCCAATTCTCCATCCCTTGAACTTAACATCTATTTTTTATTCCAAATAGTGTATCTGAAAATACATATAAGAGAAATTAATTTAAACATGGAATAAAATAAAAACTTTACCCAACTTATGATTTTAGTGTAAAAATATAACAAGTAGCCTAAAGAGCCAAATATTTCATTATGCACTTTATTTTAACATAAAATGTACTAAAAATGTAATAAAGAACTAAAGTATGACCAAATAAAATGTGACAATTTGTAACGTATCATAATGCACGCGATACGAACACGACCCAAGATGATCGGGAAGAACCAGCCATGTCGATCGCGGTGGGTAGGTCACATCGGCATGTGGGCCGCCTGTCAACATACAAGGATTATGTTATGCCGTGACGTTATTATTTATTGTTTATATCTTGTTAATTTTATTTCGTCTTGTAACTTAGATTTTTATTAGGTGGGCAAATTATAAGCTCCTTCGAGGTTTTTTTTCGGTTCTTTCCCTTGACGCCATTGTTGAACCGACATGATTAGGATTAGGGTTTCTCTATCGGTTATATATAGGGATGTACCCATATCAATTACGGCAAGAATAATAACCCTAAGTAGTTAGATACATTTGTTCCCTTCTTTCGTTACTTTTCAAAACCCTAGCCGCCCCACCCAACGTTGGCCACGACGGGACCGTGCAAACTCGTATCATCTGGTGCTTTCATCTTGCCATTCTCATGACGACTCCTACACCTGAATCGTCGTCCTCAACGGCCCTCACCATGGAAGACCTCATTCAAGCTATCACCAATCAGGGAATGGAGTTACAGGCGACCAAACAACAGGTTCAAGCTTTATCTTCTGCCAGCCTTAATTCTGATAGTCGTTGGTCATCACGTCCGCCATCCGTACCTTGGCGGCTGCCTCCATCTCGCACGGTTGGCTCTTCTTCCAACACTAATCTAGTTCCTTGCATGCGTGTTGAGGCACCATGTTTCAAAGGCGACAATCCTGCATGCTGGGTATTTCGGATCCTAAATTATTTTGACTATTTTTCGACGATCGATGTCGAACGGCTACACCTTGTGGCCATGTTGATCGACTATCCGGTGTCCGATTGGTTACGTTACTATCACGCCAATAACTGCGTGATGAGTTGGGAGGCATTCTTGATGGCTATATGTCAATGCTTCGATCCCAACTATTACGAAAATTACATCGGCTCTCTCTCTAAGCTCTGACCGACTTCATGCGTCTTGGCCTACCAAACTTCTTTTGAGGCACAACTCAATAAAATCCCAGTCCTTCCGAAACCCACTCTTATTGCTATGTACATCACGGGACTTACCCAACCGGTCCAACGTGAGGTCCATCTTCGTGGCTCTCGAACGCTGCACGAGGCGTTCGCCTTGGCACGTGAATTATCCGCGAGTCATCAAGACACCCATGCCCAGTACATGTCGCGTCGTGCATGGTCATCTAGGCCACCGATGCATCATAGGGTGAACACCAGCTATTACGGCCTCGACTACCCCATCACCGTCCACCACCAAATCTTCTGACACCAAACTGGCAACACCACTTCTAATCGTGCGTTTGACTTCGGCTCAGAAAATGAAACGAAGCAAGAAAGGATTGTGTTGGTACTGCGATGACAAATGGATTTCGGGTCACCAATGCAAACATCGCTTTCTCGTCTTTATCGGTCCAGATGACGAGGAGGATCTATCCTTGGAGACTTTAGAGCAGCCCGATTTGTACGATGACTCCGTCATCCTAGGGGATATCTCTAGCTTACACTCATTGGCCAGTAGCCCGAGCCCACGCTCGTTGAAGTTGGAGGGATCTTTTAATAGCTTTCCCTGCAAGTGTTGCTTGACGGGGGGAGCACGCATAATTTTATTCACCCAGCTATCGCGGAACGTATGTCCCTTGTCCTTCATCCTGTCCCTCCATTTCAAGTTTATGTCGGTAACAGGGATTCTTTTCATTTTGCAAATTCATCTCTTCGTACCCTCTTGACCCTACAGGGCACTCTATTTGAGATCGATTTATATCTTTTGGAGATTCATGGGCCCGATATTGTGCTCGGCGTTCAATGGCTACAGACCCTAAGGAAGGTTTCACATGATTATGCACAAATGACGATGGAATTTACTTGGCACGGCTCGTCAGTGGTCATGCGTGGTGACACAGTGGCACCACGGTCGATCTCGTATAGCCATCTCTGCTCTTTGGCCGCCCACTATCCCTTGGAGATTTATGAGCTTCAGCCCTCGGTTTCCCAACCACAGTTGTCCCCAAACCCCGAGGTGGTGTTTCCCACATCTATGCCGTCGGTGGTTCACGGGGTGTTAGAGCTACATAGGGTAGTTTTCCTTCAACTTACAGGGCTTCCGCCGGCGCGCGAGTGGGACCATCAGATTAATCTGGTCACCACTACAAAGCACGTAAATGTCCGGCCGTACCATTATCCCTATTTCTAGAAAACAGAGATTGAACGCCAAGTGAAGGACATGCTCCACCAGGGAATCATTCGTCCCAGCCAGAGGCCTTTTTCCTCACCCGTGCTTTTTGTCAACAAAAAAAGGCTCTTACCTTTTCTGTGTGGATTATAGAGCTTTGAATGCAGTCACGGCTCCCGATCACTTTCCGATCCCAACCACTTATGAATAGTTTGACGAATTGGCCCATGCACGCATTTTCACCAAGCTCGATATTCGTTCGGGGTATCACCAGATTCGTATGCATGACGCAAATACTTTTAAAACCGCCTTTCAGACGCATGAAGGGCATTATGAGTTCTTAGTGATGTCATTCGGCTTAACCAACGCTCCTTTTGCTTTTCAGGCAGAAACGAATAGTATCTTCGATGCCTACTTACGATAGTTTGTAATTGTGTTCTTTGATGATATTCTCATCTATAGTCCCTCCACAGATACTCATGCGGAACATTTTCGCCTCGTCCTACAGACCCTCCACACTAATTCCTTCTTCGTCAAGGTTTAGAAGTGTTTATTTTGCACCCCCACCATAGCTTATCCGGGCCACCTCGTGACTGCCTAGGAACTCAAACCGGATCCGGATAAAATCAATTCCATGCTTAAATTTCCGAAGCCCACGTTGGTGAAGCAGCTCCGGGGTTTTCTCGGCCTCACTGGCTACTACCGTTGTTTTTCACCGGCTATGCCATGATTGCGGCCCCCCTTACTGACTTACTCAAGAAGGATAACTTCGGGTGGGACTCGGCCGTGGATAACAGCTTGAACAACCTCAAGTGAGCCATGGTCACGGCACCCATCCTTCGTGTTAGAATAAAGGCCTAACGCTAGAGGGAGGGTGAATAGCGTTTAAAATAAAATCGCAGGAATTTAAAACGTGGAAGGTAAAGTAAAGAGCGTAAGGAGGGAGCACACCGTATCTTACCCTTGTTCACCACAACGTGTGGTTACGTCCAGCCTCCCGAGAGACTCTCTCGACTTACACTAACTTCGTTCAACTTAAGGGTGCTTAACAAACTGATACAACCTGAGAACTCGAGTCACATGAGCCTCAACGCCTTTTGCTCGGAGATACCGCATTCCAAGACTTTACACAAAGGAACGAAAACTTCCTCTGAATTACAACAAGGGAACAACCTCCCTTCAATTATATAGAAACACTTAAACACTCAAGAATAAAACTCTCACAAAGAGTAGATATGAGTGAACTAATAAATGCTCAAGAACACGACAATTTCTTCAAGAATTACTCTCAAAAAGATAAGAAATATAAAGAATGATTATGCAATGAAAGAATATTGAATGTTGAAGAATTGTGTGTAAAATGATAGGATTTGGGTGCCATTTTATAGGCTAAAATGTGGTGTAGCTGTTGCAAGAGTTCCAACAGGATCAAGACAAAAACTTAAGAGTCATAGACTGATAGTCGATTATCTTAACATGATAATCGATTATCAAAAGATTCCATGTCGAAAAATTTAAAATTCTATCCGTTGGAGGGCAACGGTAACACTGATAGTCGATCATCAAATTCTGACAGTCGACTATCAAGCCTCTCTGAAAACTCTGGGTTTTGGCAGCAAACCAGGATAATCGATTGTCAATTGATGAAAATCGATTATTAGGTGCTCCTGAACTTAAAGTCCAAAACCTGCAGGGGCTGATAATCGAGTGTTGTAAAGTGATACTCAATAATCACATAGCTTGGACCCACTTGCGAAAATCCAACTTGAAACACCGAGGTCCAAAAATGAAGTGTTCCAAAAAGTAAAAACTAAGGTTGAAAAATATTGTATATGGTATAAAATAGTAAAACCAAGACTTGTTTATTAAAAACCAAGTCTTAGAGGTCATTTGTCACGTGTTGACGGCTTTGACCGATTTTACATGTTTACGATTGACCATCATACACAAGTGGTTTTTATAAAATAAATGTTTGGGAACCTTTTAAATATGCCTAGAGATAAAAACCAAGTACAAAATATTGAAAATAACTTAGTTGGTTCGGACGCCAAAAACCGAACGCCAAACGCCGAACATTGTGGTTTTGGTTATGGCAAAGCCCAGGGATTTTTGAAGCTTTGAAAAGCTTATTAAAAAAATTTATTTGCTGCATAAAAATGTTTCATGATTTTATAAACATATTTTGACTCTTTGAGAACCAAGACTTGATTTGATTGTCGGTTTTGATTACAATGAGACCGACTCGACTAAGTCTTCAAATATTGATTTTGTTCTTGAGTCTCTTGGTATTGTTCCACGCCTTGAGTTATTCAACGAAACTCTTCATATCCACGGCAGTTTGGCAATTATCAAAACTTGTTAGAAACGAACACGACTTTAGTTCAACGCAATATAAAGTGTGTTCCAACACTTTGCCTCCCGGATTTTGCACTCAACTTCTAGCTAGAGACAGATGCTTTGGACGTCGGTATAGGGGCGGTACTTATGCAGCAAGGTCACTCGTTAGCATTCTTTAGCAAGAAGTTGGGACCACGGAGACGCACAACCTTTACCTATCACAAGGAACTTTATGTATGCCATAGTGGAATTGGTGCATAAATGGCGGCAATATTTATTGGGGCGCGAGTTTGTGATTCGTAGTGATCAACGTAGCCTCAAGGAGTTACTGATGCATGTTAGCAACAATTTTACATTCAGAAATTGATGGGATTAAAATTCCGAATCGAATATAAAAAGGGGACCACAAATAAGGACGCCGATGCACTTTCACGGTGGGGTGCCGACGTGGACGCAGATGACCTTTTCACATCCTTCGCTCACCTAATGCCGCTGTTTATGAAAGATATTCAGGCAGAGCATGCCTCTCTTCCTGATTGTCGCGCCCTGCACGATGCGATACAGACCGGAAAAGGACCACCAGATATGACGTGCATAACGGTTGTCTATATTACAAGCATCGGATTTATCTCAGCCTGAATTCTCACCTATGGGATCAAATCCTTCACGAGTTTCATAGTACTCTCGCGACAGACCACCAGGGGTACCTTTCGACGCCTTGCCGATGTTTTTCATTGGCCGGGAATGCGCCGGAATGTGCGTCGGTTTGTGGCAGCATGCGTCCACTGTCAAGCGACAAAATACTCCACCCAAAAGCCTGCAGGGTTGCTGCAGCCCCTCCCTATACCTGATCGGGTTTGGGACTCGGCCTTCATGGACTTCATTACAGGATTTCCGACTTCTCATGGCTTTTTGGTACTTCTGGTGGTGGTGGACAGGTTATCTAAATACTCTCATTTTGGGTTGCTGCCTACCCATTTCGATGCTCCGCGAGTGGCTCTAGTTTTCCTCGATGTGGTCGTCAAACACCATAGATTTCCTACGACCATAATCTCCGATCGCGACTCCGTTTTTATGAGTTTCTTTTGGCGTGAGTTGATGCGTTTAAGTGGTAATGCCCTGAAGTTCAGCACTGCTTATCGGCCACAGACGGAGGTCATTTATCGCGACTTAGAACAATACCTTCGTGCATTCACTTATGAGCACCCCTACCAGGCACTCTATGGGCGTACACCACCAAATCCTTTTCTGACATCGTCTCTCCGTGCGCGTGTTCCGGCTGTCGAGGAGATGCTTCGTGAACATGCTGAGGTGCTTGATGATTTGAAACGACACCTTTCGAAAATGCAGCAGCGCATACGCTAGCGTGCCAACCAACACTGAAGGGACGTGTAGTTTAATGTCGGGGACCTCGTTCTTCTAAAGTTCCAGCAGTACCATCAATGTTCGGTGGCTCGGCCACACTCGACAAAATTATCCCGCAGGTACTAAGGTCTATTTGAGGTGGTGGAATGCATCAGGGCTATTGCATATCGTCTTCGTATGCTTGAGGAATGCCGTATCTATAATGTCTTTCTTGTTTCCATTCTGCGACCGTTTGTAGGGAATGGACAGCAGCCCCCACCTTCGGCTCTCCCTGCAGAATTTCATAAAGGGCAGCCCGTGATTGTTACAGTCTTTGTTAGTTCGCGCCATACGGTTGTCGTCGATGGTAAGCCGCAAGAGCAATGGCTAGTGCACTGGTCTGAAGATGCAGACACTGATACGACTTGGGAGCTCGCAGAAGTTATGCAATGTCATTTTCCAACTCTTGGCCTTGAGGACAAGGCCGTCTACGACCGCGGGGGAGTTGATACGAGCACGGCCCAGGATGATCGGGAAGAACCAGCCATGTCGATCGCGGTGGGTAGGTCACGTCGGCATGTGGGCCGCCCGTCGAGATACAAGGATTATGTTATGCCATGACGTTATTATTTATTGTTTTTATATTGTTAATTTTATTTCATCTTGTAAAGTAGATTTTTATTAGGTGGGCAAATTATAAGCTCTTTCAAGGATTTTCTTTTAAATTATTTCCCTTGATGCCTTTGTTGAACCGACAAGATTAAGATTAAGGTTTCTCTATCGGTTATAAATAGGGATGTACCCATATCAATTAAGGAATGAATAATAACCCTAAGTAGTTAGATACATTTGTTCCCTTCTTTCTTTACTTTTCAAAACCCTAGCCGCCCAACCCAACGTTGGTCGGGACGGGACCGTGCAAGTATCAGCAAGGCTTGCTTCTGATTTCATTTTTTAATCTTTACCATTTTTTACAATTATTTCCTCCTTTCATTACTCTATTAATTTTATTTGAAAAATGTAAATAAAAAAACATAACTCTTCAAAACTCATCAAAACTCTTTATATATAATATTAATCAGTAATATTTTATTATAATTTTACAGGCTGCTTTCTCTCTCTAGCCATGGCGAGGAGAGGTAGGCCGAAGACGAACCATCCATCCATCGATGTCCCCATAATCGACCAAGTGATTAATGATGATGTTTCCACCAAACAATATAAACAAGGAGAAGAGAAGAGAGATCCTGTCCCAAGTGCAGATCTAGAGGAAATTGCCCAAATATTAGGATGCAACTGCTCTTGTCTGTGTATTGGGAGCTAATCCACCCTTAGCAGTGATGGAGGGATTTATTGGGAGAATATGGAAAGCATACCAGATTGAGGACATCACCTTTCTAAAACGAGGGCAATATGTGGTCAGATTCTAAACTGAGAAGGATAGGGATGAAGCTACAGACAGAAGGTTCTATCACTTTGACAATAAACCTGTATATGTGAGTAAAGGGAAACGAGGTTGTCAAGTTAATCTGAAAGAATTAGAAGACATCCCAATTTGGGTCCATTTCCCAGGTCTGGAGGTGAAATACTGGAGTATGACTGGCCTTAGTAGGATTGGAAGTTTAGTGGGAAAACCAGTGAGAACAGACATGGCTACAACAAAAAGAACTAAGATGGAATATGCAAGAGTAATGATATCAGTTAAGATGAAGCAGGAGTTTCCAGAGACAGTTCTTTTCCAGGATGAGAATGGTAGATTGATAACTCAATCTATCACATATGAATGGTGTCTAGTACATTGCTCAAAATGTGATGGGATAGGACACAAGAACCAGGACTGTAGAAGGAAGGAAAATCAAGGACAGAATAGGAAAAGAATGATATGGAAACTAAAGGACGCACAACACAACAAAATGGAGGAACAGAAGGAAGAACAGATAAAGGAAAATCATGGACAAGAGGACCCCATCATGGAGACACCCCCTAATCAGAATATGTTGGAAAAGCAGGAGGCTCATACTGATGGATTCATTGAGGTCAATAGAAGGAAAACAGCTAAGAGATCCCTATTGCTTGACAAAAGTAGTATACTATATCACGGATTGATGTTACATACTGACCTATTCAAAGGGCCCTATAAGGGTCACCTACCTTTCTTAAAATGATAGGGGGGGTGGAATATCAGAGGCCTGAATGGGCCTCTAAAGCAGGAGGAAGTAAAGAAGTTAATTAAGAAGTATGATATTAAGCTGTTGGGGTTAATGGAAACAAAAATTAAGGAGGCTAGAGTTGCTGAGGTAGAAAAGAAACTCTTCCATGGATGGGGGTCTTTCATAAATATTAAGGATCACCCAAATGGCAGATTATGGGTGGTATGGAATAAAAGAGAGATGTTGGTAGATATAGTTAACTCTATTGACCAAGCTGTCCACTGCAAGGTTACAGAGAGAAGGGGGAACAAAAGTTTCCACATTACATTTATCTATGGTCATAATGACCAAAGTAACAGGAAAAACTTATGGACTGCCCTAACTAGCTATGCTGCAAACACAAAGGGTGCCTGGTGTATCCTGGGGGACTTCAATTCTATCCTAAATATGAATGATAGGGTGGGAGGCAACAGTATATCTCTTGATGAAATCAAAGACTTCAAGGAATGCATGAATCAGTGTGGATTGGAAGAGGTCCCTTCTAATGGATCCTTCTACACTTGGTCTAATAAACAATCCTTAGGCCATAGGATTTACTCCAAATTGGATAGGGTCTTGGCTAAAATGGACTGGTTTCTGGAAAATGGAACTAAAGTTCTTATTTTAGAGGAGGGGATTTCTGATCATTGTCCCATTCTTATTCCTCCCCCTCATGCCCAAATAAGAAGTGGTGGATTTAAGTATTGTGATATGTGGAGATTGGACCCTGGTTTTCATGGTATTGTGAAAAGGATCTGGGAAGAGGAGGTGGAAGGAAGGAAGATGTTTCAGCTTGTGCATAAACTAAAAAAGTTAAAAGCACCTTTGAAGAAATTAAACACAGACAAATTTATGCATATGAATCAACAGATTGAGATCTTGAGAATGGAACTGCATAATGTACAGAAGGAGCTGAAGGATAACAGTCAGGATGCAGTATTATTAATGAAGGAGAAGGATCTTACAAAGGAATACCAGATGAAAGTGAAAGCAATGCTACTCATGAGGAAGCAGCAAACTAAGATGGATTGGATATTTGTGAGTGATCAGGGGTTTAAACTGTTCCATGCCTGGGTCAAAAAGAGGGGGATACAAAACAATATTGTGACCATAAAAAATGCCAAGGGTGAAGTGATTAATGATACTACAGGGGTTGCAGATGTACTGCTGCAGTATTACCAAAAAGTACTTGGGACTGAGATAGAGGTAGAGAGTATTAATCAAAAGGGGATGCAGCATGGAAAGACCTTAACTGTAGAACAACAATTGGCCCTCATACAACCATTCACTACTGAAGATATAAGGAAAATGGTGTTTGACATTCCGAATAGTAAAAGCCCAGGACCAAATGGTACTCTAGTGGGTTCTTCAAGAGTCAATGGAAGGTGGTGGGAGGGTTACTCAGTGAGGCCGTGATGGATTTCTTCAGGGAGAATAAAACCCTCAAACAGATCAATACCACAAAAGTGGTCCTCATCCCCAAAGTGGAGAATCCTCAAGAAGCTAAGGACTATAGACCAATATCCTGTTGAAATGTAATTTATAAAATAATCTCTAAACTTGTCTGTTCTAGGTTTAAAAAGGTGTTGCCAGAGATTATCAATCAAAACCATGGTGCATTTGTGGAAGGGAGAGAACTAATTCATAATGTCCTACTTTGTCAAGAAATGGCTAAAGGGTACAACAGAGCTGGGATATCTGCTCGATGCATGATGAAACTGGACATATCCAAAGCGTATGATTCGGTAAGCTGGAAAGCCTTAGAAGAGATCCTCATAGCAATGAAATTTCCTGGGCAGTTTGTTAATTGGATAATGTTCTGTGTCACTACATCTACATATACTTTGTGCATTAATGGGGAAAATACTGGCTTCTTCAAGGGTAGGAGAGGTCTTAGGCAAGGGGATCCCATTTCACCCCTTCTTTTTGTCTTAATAATGGAGTATCTGACTAGAAGTGTGGAACATTTTGTGAGGGATAGTTCTTTTAGATATCATCCAAGATGCAAGACCCTTAAAATTGTGAACTTGTGTTTTGCAGATGATTTAATCTTACTCTGTAGAGCTGATGAAAGATCAATTAGATGTATAATGAAAGCCATTTCACATCTAGAGAAAACTACTGGACTATCTATTAATCTGAGTAAATCTCAAATAGTACTGGCAGGGGTAAAGCAAATAGAAAAGAGCAGGCTATTGGGACTGACAGGTATTCCAGAGGGAAAATTGCCTTTCACATACTTGGGATGCCCAATTTCGTCTAACAGACTTTCATCCACTAACTGTGAGGTCCTGGTGGAGAAGTTAACTGCTAGAATCACATGATGGAAATCTAAGAACTTATCTTATGCTGGGAGAGCAAGGTTAATATCCTCTGTCCTAATGGGGATCATTAACTTCTAGGCAAGAATATTCATTATACCTGGGAAGGTTATGAAGCAGGTACAAGCTCTGTGCAGAAACTACCTATGGGGGGCCGAGGAAAAATACAAGAAGGTCCCATTAATTAGTTCGAAGGAAACCTGCAGGCCTAAAGACAAAGGAGGTATTGGCTTCAAAAATCTGACAAAGTGGAATAAGGCAATGATTATGAAACTGAATTGGGACTTAGCAAAGAAGAAAGACAATCTGTGGGTAAAATGGATACATTCTAGATATATTAAGGATGGGGATTTCTGGAGCTATCATCCTAAACAAGATGCCTGTTATTATTGGAAGAAAATGATCAAGGTAAGACAAGAGTTTGAAAGCATGCCAGTCAGCAGGGAGTATAGAATTGAAGAGGGGTACTCATGGCTTATGGGTCAACTCCCAAAAGATGAATGGTATGACATTGTTTGGAAGAGAGGAACAATGCCAAAACATAGTATGATAGTATGGAAGATTATGAAGGGAAGGATCCAAACAAAGCAAAGGCTGTGCAGATTTTTGCCTATTGACAATGGGTGTGTCTTATGTTACAAAGGCGTGGAGGATAGTGAACATTTGTTCTGGCAATGTGAATATGCAAGGAGTCTCTTTGATAGAATCATGCCTAGCTTGGGATGTGGACTAGAAGGGGACTCACCACAGAGTTTCTGTGCGCAACAACTCAGAAAGGGGAGCAGAAAATAACGGATCACATAGAGAGCAGCGTGGGCAGCTATATGCTATGCAATATGGAGGGCTAGAAAGAAGAAGATATATGGGAAAGAGAGCATCAAAGTCGAAGATAGTATAGATTACATTTGGTTTAATCTTAATACCTATTTGTATAAGAAAAGCTAAAGTGTGAAGGAATTCTGACTTCGGCCAGATTGGTAGTAGTTGATATTGTAATGTGAACTTTGACTCGTGGTGTGAATAAAATTTTGTATTGTGTTCAAAAAATATATTTTATTATATACAACAATGTAGTATTTTATATCCTGATTTTTATCTCTTTAACCATAGATTAAACGTAATAGTTTAAATTCGATGGTCCATAGATGATAGTCATTGGGCGAGAAAAAAGCATGTGGCATTATTCTCCTGCTTTTAAGAATATGAGGATAGTCATAAGCATAACATATTTAAAACCTCTTAACTAATATAATAGCTTGCTATTAATAGTACATTACTATTTTTTGGAGGGTTCTTGCCATTAATAATATCCTTCCTCACAATATATAATACTTTTCTGTGCCACAAAAACTAATCCATATCCATACCCATACTTTATTTAAAAAGAGGGGAAATGCTCATTGTGTTTTCCCGCCTAAGCGTGGTGAGTAAAAATGGTAAGTGTCACATTTTACTCTTTCAATTTTAAATAACTATATGGAATTTTAGAAAAATGATAAGTGGCATTAAATAATCTTTCAATTTTAAAATGGTGAGTGACACGTTTTACTCTTTCAATATTAAAACACTAAACAAAATTTTGAAAAAATGGGAAGTGACTCGTTTTACTCTTTCAAATTTAAATAACTATAAGGAATTTTTAAAAAATGGTAAGTGGCACGGAATAATATTTCAATTTTAAAATGATAAGTGACACGTTTTGACTCTTTTAATATTAAAACCCTTAACAGAATTTTCAAAAAATGGTAAGTGAGGCATTTTACTCTTTCAATTTTAAATCACTATACAGAATTTTTAAAAAATAGTAAGAGGCACGGAATAATCTTTCAATTTTAAAATGGTAAGTGACACGTTTTACTCTTTCAATATTAAAACATTAAACGGAATTTTTAAAAATGATAAGTGGCACATTTTACTCTTTCAATTTTAATAACTATACGGAATGTTTTAAAAAAGGTAAGTGGCATAGAATAATTCATTCGATTTTAAAATGATAAGTGGCATATTTTACTCTTTCAATTTTACTCTGTAACATATTGATAAAATTATTTTCTGAATTAAAATATTTATTTTTTTATTTAATTCTATAATAAATATTAGTATGCATTTTCTAAATCTTTTTTACGGAGTAATAATAAGATATGATATTCTTTTTTACGGAGTAATAATAAGATATGATATTTTTTAAAATAAAAGTTATTGTGTTAATAATGATGCACATTTATTAAATTTTAAACAAAACTTTTTTTGAAAAGAAATAAAATTAAAAATGGTTTGTTGCTTTAAATTTTATATAAATCTTTACATATTTTTAGAAAAAATATAATAAAACTTACATAATCTTCTTTTTAAAATAATAATCTATATTAAAAAATTAGAATAGGGAAAAACATATTGGTATAATACTTAAAAATGGAAAGTTTATAAAAAATTATTGCTCATCAAATTTAAGAATAATGAAATTTATTTTTTTAACAAATTAATAATCGAAATAACAGCTTCAAAATATTTTAAAATTTTTTAAAAATCACATATATTGTTTTAGAAAAGTAACAAACTAAAATAAGAAGTTGATAATTCTAAAAGTGTATTTATAATTTTTTTATTTTAAATAAGTACATATAATTTTTACAATAATAACATAACTATAGATTATGGAGTGTATTTAGTTCACGTGGTGTATTTAGTGTTTTAGCGGGTGTGGCTATCACTGCCCATAAGGAAACAATAAGCCCTTAGATATATTTTAGTTTAATTTATCTTTATTTTTTTTAAAAATTATATCACCAAATATAATAATTTTAAATATTTTGTGTGAAATAATAACTACTCTTGTTCTTTGAGAAAGAGCAATAACTAAAGCAACTTGATGCCAAAATCTTCCCGAACACTATTACACATGTGAGCTAATGTCATAACAAACTCAATGAAATATTACATAAAAGGAGACATAAGAATAATATCAATTATAAATGAATATAAGACCACTCCCAGGTGCTAATATGATTCCCCAAAGATCATATGCACTAAGGTCACGTTGTCTTCACTTGATCTAAATGATTCTGATCTGATTGGAATAAGTTCTAATCTGGTTTGGTCAAAACTTGTATATAGTTATATTTAAAACTATTTCTGATATCATCTGATTTGATTTGATCTGATTCCATTAAAAAATGATAAGTAATAAGAATAAATTGAAATAAACATGGCCTATGAAGTCCACTTAGGACTGAATTTTTGCAAAACAACACCAATAATAAGTCCAATTGATCATATACTTCGTATAATTTAATCACACAAAAATCCTAAAATGACAAAACTCTCTTGTTAGGAGAGATTGGTAACTAACGCATAAATACATAGAAATCCTTAAAAGCAAACTGTATGGTTGTCTAGCTCAATAACATTTCGATCATAGTTCTTGTCAAAATTAGAGAGCTTGATACAACATATAATCCATTGTGAAATTTGCGCTGAATAAGACTAAAACATAAGTCATTTCCCAATGTATGACTTAAACTTTTTTATTCCCTATGTAGGACTTAATAATGACTAGTGAGAAGAATAATGTCTAAGTGATACTGGATATTTAGTTGAATAATGACTAATAGATAATGACCAATGGTCCTACATTGGAAAATAAAAATATATGGTCCTATATTGAGAAAATCATTATGTTTTAGTCCTATTTAGGTAAAATTACCGTAATCCATTACACACTGAATGAGGGTCAGGTTATAAATTTAAATGAAACACAATAAAGTTCACTAATTCAACGGGTAAATTTCACCCATGGTATACGAACTTTCATTATTATTTCACTTCGGTATATAAACTTTAATTCATATCACAAAAGTACACGAACTTTCAACATTCTTTCACCGGTAGTCCAATAGGTGGTTTCCAAGTCACCTTCAGGTCATTTGGGGTCAAATTATAATTTTATAAATTTAAATTTTATGATTCTGACTCCTTTTCCTTTTTTTCTCTTGGTTCTCCACCCTTTTATTCATCTTCTTCAAGACCTCCCACCCTCCCCCTCCATTTTTTCTTCTTTTCCTCTTCTAGC